AAAGGTCAAACTCACATATTTCACTTACACTTAACTGATGCAGTCTCACGAGGGCTCCCCATTGTCCATTTCAGGGGTTCTAGTTTGCTCAGTCTCGAGCTATTAGGGACCTCTGGGGCCACCCATCTCCGCGAACGGTACAGGCGAAATACTCCGGTGGGACGAAATTTATGGCCCAAAGACGGATGAAGTTAACTCGGCACCGCTTGGGTACTTCACCACCCGTGACCACCTAGATTAAAATCACCCCCAAGCGTCTCGGGACCTAAAACCGATCACTAAACTTCAACGGTCAATCTCACCAAGGAATTATTGATCTCATGCCTTCACATGATTGTTGACGTCATAGGTCACAACAAATGTCCCTGCCCTCTCCCCCCCCCAAAAAATAATGTCGACAGGACCCGCAAGATCTATCGTACCGCAATTGATTTGACACCAAACACAGGAGACCATTTTTGTTCTTCTGATTCACACAGGTATGACGACATGGTCATGGGCGATTATGAGGTCAAGGAATTTTCATGTCAGCGCCATGTCACCTCTTAGGTTTAATTTCTGACGCTTCTAATTCGCGTTATATATAGCTTTAGATATATTTAAAAGTTAACATAAAGTTTACATATAGTTGCTTAAAGTATAAGCAACTTAACTTTTCACTTCTCTACTCCCCTCTCGGTTTCACCTTCCAAAAGTTGTCCATTTGGTAGGCACTCCATGACACGTATTTGGCATTCGATTGTCCATGCAAACGATAGTGCTTTGCTGAACTATGCATCGTCCCATTCATAAAATAGACGTCGGATCCATAAGGCTTTGACTGGGCTTGACATTGACGCCTTCATCTGGTCGGAGGATCACGACGGAATTTTGAATAAATGAGATTGCTTGGATCCCATCCGATATGTTCTTTGCAAACCAGAACCGTGGTCTAATTCTCACCATACTCTGATCATTCGCCTGTTTTTTCAAGCTTGTGGCCTCAAGCACATGTAACTCCGACTTAAACCTCACCGGCATCACTGAGAGGGTTACCCAGGCACCGGCATCACCGGCATCACCGGCATCACCGAGAGGGTTACCCAGGCACCGGCATACCGGCATCACCGGCATCACCGAGAGGGTTACTCAGGCACCGGCATCACCGGCATCACCGAGAGGGTTACCCAGGCGCCGGCATCACCGGTATCACCGGCATCACCGAGAGGGTTACTCAGGCGCCGGCATCACCGGCATCACCGGCATCACCGAGAGGGTTACCCAGGCACTGGAATCACTAGCATTACCGGCATCACCGAGAGGGTTACCCAGGCGCCGGCATCACCGGCATCACCGGCATCACCGAGAGGGTTACCCATGCGCCGGCATCACCGGCATCACCGGCATCACAGAGAGAGTTACCCAGGCATCCCACCGCGATCCACCCACAGACAGGGACAGGGACAGGGACAGGGGGAGGGGGCACGGCTGGGTGGCTGGGTGGCTGCGGTCGGCCGGCGCCCAGTCCGATCTGTTCGGCGTCCCCTGACCCATCGATCGCATCACTCAGGCAGCTGCCAGCGGCATAGTGCGGCCCACCGGCGGGACGGCCTCCCCGACCGCACCCCGCCGACCGTGAAGCTCAGACCCCGCCGAGCACGGGCCCGAGTCACTGGCCCGTCACCACTCCGTTGCCCAGATGTAGGTCCGGATCGTCCTCGGAAGCACTGTACCTGAATCACCCCCCGCCCCCTTCCTGAAAAAACGCTGCACCATTAGCCCAATCTGAGTCACGGGCCATCTGCCGAGCACTGGGCTCGCATCTTCGCCGGAGTTTGGCATTACACTGCCGGCAAGCAACCAGATCGCAGCACTGGTCTTGTTGGCACAGGTCTCCACCACCCGTCCGTCAGCACTGCCGGTCTCTTCCACGCGGGCTTTTGAGCACAGAAACCTGCTGCCGAACCCGAGTTCCTAGTGTATTGAGTGTAATTTCCAATCCATCATAGATGGTTTGCGGTATCTGATCGCGAGTCCGCGTCGAATGAGCTTTACGTCGCATGAGTCCCAGCGTATGTCTTTTAAGGTTGGGTCAGAGTGAGCTTTCGAGTCCTGGAACCACGACCCTGAGTTTGACGTTGCGTTGCACAATCACGTCATGTGACGTCTGTATGACGTCAGAACCGCTTCTAGATTGGCCGTGTCAGCATTGGCACTATAGCGGAAGGGCTTACTGAAATGTAATGCTTCAATTTGCCGAGAGGCGGTGGTGTTTGCTTATACATACTTATACTGTTGTGAACCTAGATACCTCTCCTAAGCAACAGGTCACAGTTGCTCATCTAATGTTAGCGACCTTGTTTGACCTTTAGAACGTGATGTTCATCTTTAGGTCATGCTGAGCAAAATTATACAAAGCTGCTTTGATTTTTACGTTTGAAGAAGCATCAAGGATGACGCTGGGCGGTATGTTCCTTAAGGCAAAATGTTGACCCGGGTCAATTTATGTCAGTGACCTATGCTGACCATTGGAAAATAATCCATGGAAGACATATGATGCAGACCCTGTCTTTAAACAATTCAAAATGAGCACCAGAAACTACTGCATGCGGCAAGCTCTCGAGTAAAAAATAGATTGGTTTTGACTTTGGTCTGTCCTTCCTACCTCACCCTAGGGTCAATGGAATTTGTTTATTCAATTGTTGTGTTGCCTGGCAAGCTATATCAGAGATGAATGGCTTTGTCTTACACTCCATTCTGGCACCAAAGTGAACGATTCCCTAGAAATTGCATTCGCTTAAGCCATGGCCTGACTTTGACTTGCCATAGGTCAGCTACCTTGCAAGGTACATACAAATCCTGGATGCCACTGAATACATTAAATTAATATAGTAACTCATGAAAAGACGCTCTATTTTATTGTCTACATCTCGGCAAAATTTGATATGACGCCTGTTAAAAATGGATGTCGTGATGTCCAGAAAAAAATGCCTTCGGCATCTCTCGCTGAAGCGTTGATCTGAGATTTCGTCAGGGCGGAAGGTTTGGAATTTTCAGTGCTCCTGAAGTTTCGTGCCCATTGAAAATAAAGGCATCGGGCAACTTTGTTGCGCCATCTGGAATTGGGTCCCACGTGAAAATACAGATTATGACGCCTCAGAAGGAAAGTGTTGGTGCTCCTTCTCCGAATGGGCCGATCCAAGATTTTGCCACAGGTAACGGTAGAGCATTGTGGTGCCCCTAGAGGTATGGTGCAAAGCAATATTTCGGGTCATTCGTGGTGCCTCTGGAATATGGTGCCTCGTAAACAGAAAGTTTAGATGGTTTCGAAATGAGGGCTTTTAGTTTCCCTTTACTATGATGTTTTTGGCGTCTCAAAGGGATTCCAGAACCTAGTGAAGGTCCAAGGAGGCATATCCCCCCCCCCCCCCCTATTCCGCTTCTGCTGCGCCGTACATGGCACACGCTTGAGACCGTCCAGCTTCAAAGACGAAGCACTTCCGCAGGAAGCTTTGATACCCCGTACGATGGAGATGGCTGCCGCTGATAACCGCTGGGTATTTCCCATCTTGATGGCAGCCATAACATTGGATATATGCCGATGGTCACATACATTGGATTGCTAACCATGAATCTGCCTGTTTGGGACATTTGTAAGGAATGATGTCACATATGCGGCTGCTCAACTAGATCTGGGCAATACAACCTGGTAAAGAGGTGAAAGTGACGACACGATCTGTGCAAATATATACTGAAAAAATCCCCACGCGATTTAAACGCTAACCCATCTCGAAATCTGACAGGAATCGACAAGCAGCCAACCATCACTTATCGACAGCATTGCCAGCTTCCCGGAGTGATTGACATGAGGCATGAATAACATGGGAGAAATAATTGTTCGGCCTATCGCCGTCATCTGGTGTATAGTACGCCCACCAGATCACACGCATACACGCCAGACGAGAACGACAGTCTGGGCACTTTTGTTATCCATGTAAGCGCTCGGGCACTTGAACCAACTGGGAAATCGGGGCCGACTTCCTTCGTCCTCGATTGTCTGCTCTTTCTCCGAGTTTCGCACAAAATGAAACGAAAGAGGCAACTTGTGGGCTGCCTTGTGGGAATTAGATGACAAATGACCTGCAATTAACTTGATGACAGGTAATACGAAATGACCGTGACTTTTACCTCAAATAAAAATATACATTTTCTAGTCGTTCGGAATGCAAAACACGCCTAAAGACGCTACCTTGCTCTAATAATCTCTGTTCTGTGTCATGGTGCGTTTGAGTGGGGGTCCGTCAGGGCCCCACTACCGTCTACGGTCAGGACCGTCTAAACTAACCCGTTGCTCGGCATTTCGAGAAGTAAGAGCGTTTGCCACATTTCACAGATACAGCCACGTTGACTCTGAACTTCCTGCAGTTTCAGCGCAGAGCACACCCTTGACGATGCGTTCTGTGTTGCGCGCAGTCGCCCCAGTCTGCCGTCCCGAGCTGCCTCACATTTACGGCGTCTCCAAGAAGGAGCAGGTGAACATCCTGTGCGACGTGGACTCCAATCCATCGCGCCTGCACTTCCTGTGGACTTTCAACAACACGTCCGAGATGACGGAGCTGGACAGCAGGCTGGTCAACAGCAGCGAGACGCGCAGCATGCTCACCTACCAGCCGAAGACTGAGATGGACTACGGCACCATCTTCTGCTGGGCCACCAACGACATCGGCAGGATGGCCCGGCCCTGCGTCTTCCACGTCATAGCTGCCGGTGAGAAAGCTTCTCTGTGAATGCGCACGCACTGACTCTAGTTAGGTGTAAATATGCATATTAGTTGGACAACACTATTGTTTTGAGTTCTACGCTATTGTTCTGTTATTCGCTTTGTTCAACTGCATTGTTCTCTAAGTACGCTTTGAAGGTTTGGCACGAATTGTAAGATGACCATTGGCATGGGTAGCAGAAAAGCGAGACGTGAGAAGCAAAAATTACGGTTTATGTGTTCAGTGGGCAAGAAAGTCATGTGGACTTTTAAATGTCACTGGGGCTTAACGACGAGGTCATCCATAGGAGGTGGTCCGAGTACTTGCAAGTCAGATAATGCGGAATTAAGTGCACAATATGTATAAGGTCCTGACATTGTGGACGAGGTGCGCGTGTTATGTCATGCGATACAGTATGCGCCTATCACTCGCACTTTGAGAAATTGACACAATTTGTGGCGTTGGCTCCCGCTTTGCCTAGCTCGTTCGTCATAACAGCAAATTCACTTAAAAAAGTTACCAGGCCGAAAAGACTGGAGTGGGTTGAAAGCTTAAACGTCAGATTAACCTCTAGTGGTTAACCGGAGAGGTGCAAAATTCCCTTTTTTCTATATGCTGTATTTGTATACAACGTATGTTGTACGCATTTTTGCTAAGTTGCGCTGAAACGCAACGAATCGATGAATGGCGTTGAATAAATCGATTTTGCCTCGACCAGTTCGGCTGGATGGGTTTACGAATCGTGCATTGGTAGATTCACGAGTAAGCCTGACTCAAGACTGGCACATCGGATTCCGCTGAAACTTTTAGATGTCTTCCGCGCAGGGCCCTCTTGTTCATATACAGTAACGCATGATGTCTATACCATGGGTGCTGAGATTATTCAGTAGTTTTTTGTGTTTGGTAGTTATGGTGTATCCACATAAAACAGAAGCATGCACTGTACATCCCGCGTACCCAATCGCGTGGCGTTCATTCTCGACGCAAGCGCTTGACGATTTGAACTGTACAACGAAAAACGCCTAGTGACTCAAGTCGTGCTTGGAACTTGGACGATAGAGTTCCCCAAGCGTTCGCCATCTCACGACATGTTTGTGGTCCACAGGCCCCCCGGACCCACTGTACAACTGCTCCATACATAACCGGACTGCGATGGATATGTCGGTCCATTGTATGGAGGCTTTCGATGGAGGTCTGATTCAGTCATTCATGCTCAACGTGTTTGCCGTCGAGGACGACCATGTAAGTCGGCTCCGAATGGAACATCTGAGCAATGTTCCTCTCGCTCGATTGTTCGACTGCTTTAACCAAGTTGTGCGTCTCGGGCGAATACTTTCTTGGTATAAGTGGATTGTGTCTACGTTTACTGGCGGTTAACTTGTGTTTGTTATCTCCTTTGATTTTGATTTGCTCAGGGAAAAGCATGCAGGAACGACGTGACTTGCATTGGCACTTTTGGTACAACGGTGTCGCATCTCGCTTTACTGTACAAATGCCTTTGCGATATTCCTGCAATGCGTTTCCAATCACTGTTGACGGTGATTCAGCAGCCGACAGCACGCTAGACTCTGCCTGCTTTCTTCAGATAGGTTGTTGTCATCGTGATGTGACGTTAAAAAATCTAAATACCTAAGCTTCTTAGACAATCGACGTCATGGATCACCATCTTCTTCATTGGTCATGACACTCGCTCTATGATTTCACTATGATGACATACCTACTATCTGCTGAAGTTGCTAGAATGCTACGTCGTTTTGAGCGCAGGTGACGCTTGTATTTGTTTATTCACAAGCACGATGCGTAAAAATCAAAAATCGGATCATTTCATACTGCTATGCGTGTCCAAGTATTCTAACGGTGAAATAATGTCGAATGTTGAATTGTATGGCGTAACTATCCATACAGAGACTCAGGTACCTGTGTATAAAGGGCAAACCGCATGCAGTGGTGTGATGAATGTACTGGTGCATAAATAGGGAATTGGTTAACAAACTCACACAATACCGTCAGCAAAGCTTTCGGTGAATGTCGTGTCTCTAGCTCAGCCAGACCCATCTCATCCTATTTATAACTCACTCGATTGTTATGTAGATTAGACTAATAGCTCCCATTAAATTACGTTAAAGCAAGCTCCGAACTGAAACATTCAACAAACTTCGTTCAGAATATCCAGTGAATCAATGTTACTCTCTTAATTATTTCTGAGCCGAATTAAACGAAAAATTCAAGCTCGTTCGTGACGACGCTTCTATAATTGTAGTCTGCAGCATTTTCGAGTTAACATAACATTCGAGTCCATGTGGAAAATGGCTATGACCAAAAGCACAACAGTGAAGCAGCCTAAGTATTCCAGAACCCATGCAGCACCATCCAGAGCCAGGCTACGCTCGCCAGCACTCTGCTGGTCCCAATGTCTGCCACACCAATTGCCCATGATTCCAACAAGATCACAAACATTGCCAGGGAAAGTACAGCTGCGGACTCACAGCTCAGGGAGGGGCAGTGGCTAGCAATGAATGATGAAATGAATGAATGATTGAAGCAGCATCCACTGGGCAGAGTGCAATACAAATTTATCAAATTGTCTTTGAAATTCAGTGTGCCACAGTTTATGGAGTTTTGAACTGAACTGCTTTGAATATCATACAGAGCGGTCCACAGCCCTGACGTTTTAAGACTTAAAGCCCGCTGGCTTCTGAGCTTGACGTCCACTGACTTACACTGACTTTTTCGAGCAGGCTTTTTCAAAGTCACCCTGGCATGCGTGAAGTTATAAGAATGTCACGGGATTGCTACGTCATTCGCCACGTGGTGCTCAAGGCAAAGACAAATATTACCTTATCATTGAGTTATTCGTGTCTGGCGTGCGTCAGCACGATTTGTGGCATCAACGGACTTCAGTCGTTCAACAAATGCAATGTGTTCAGTGCAACTTTCCAACAAAAATCCAATACTGTGCTGCTATTTGGGCAGTGGCACGAGTTATGGGGGAAATAAGACGGGAAATCGAGTAGCTTAACACGCGCCCGGTTCGAGGGACAATTTGCCCTCCCCCTTCCCCGAAGGTTTCACAACATGGTTTTCCATCGGCGTGGAGTAGCCGAGCCAATTTTTGCATAGCTGTAAGTAATTACATAGCGAATCATTCGGTATAAAGAGTTTATGTCCCTCATAGTGTCTCTGACATATGGCAAGTCAAAGTCAGCCCATGGCTATGAGCAAGGGCAATTCCAGGGAACCGTGCAATGTGATGCCGCAATATAGTGTTAAGCAAAGCCATACATTTCTGAGGGAGCTTTTAAGGCCACAAACCAGTTGAATTTAGCGTTACAACAAATTCCATTGACCTAAGGTCAGAGATGAAGATTGGACCGTGGTCAAAACCGAGCCACTTTTGCCATAAAACTTGCTTTTATGCTCAATTTGAATTGGTTGATAACAGCGACCATAACAGACATATTTCATGGACTTCTTAAAGGCCCTAGTAAGCCACTGACTCCAAAAAGACCCAGACCCCGCTTTGTATTCAGAAACGCACCGCCTGGTTGATTTTCAAACCTTTTTTTCAAAATAAAGGATAGAAAGACTTTTTGGGTTTTTGGTCACCATGATCTTCTTAAGGTCAAGCAAGGTCATTGACCTAAAATGAACATTCGTGACCTTGTGCTTAGAACAAATGTTTAGGTCCAAGGCGGTTGAATGAGGAAGTCTAAAGGCTCTTTGAACACCAAGCTTGAGTTTGAACTCGTTTGATGTTTTTTTACCAGAGGGTTATGGCCTACTTACCTCCATTGTTTTGTAAAGTGAGTTCAAGTACAGACCAACCCTGTTAATTCGGTATTTTAGCTCTCCTAGTTTTGATGTCTCAGTGCCCCCACCCCCGAGCGAAGGACAATCAACCCGTTTGCCAGATGTATTAATAAAAGCGCCATAACGAGGTAAGTGAATGCAAGGTAACAATCTGAAATAAAACCACAACCAAAAATGCAAGGACATCACGAGAAAGACCCAGAACTCGCGCACATAACGATGTTGGGATCCTGCAAACACCACACTGATCATTAGGACACCTCTCAAAAAGTTGAAGCACTGCAATTGAGTCTGTCCGTCCGCCCGCTCGGAGACCAGAGCGCACGGCCAGTTGACAGTCACTCTGGCGTCATACAAACGTTCCATGACGCCATTAAACGATGATGCTCTGAAAAACCTAGCTACTAAATTGTAAAATCGTGTTGTCTAAAGCAGTTTTTTAGTTGAAAGTGCGCCAACAGTTACAGGTAAGCTCATTGCGTCACATCTGATGCTTGTCTCAATTTCTTAAGATGTGGAACATTCCCTTTAACGTGCTTTCCCAATGATGTCTGTGACCTAAACTGAGCCAACGCTTGTGTATTGGCAAAGTAGCATTCCAAGTTATTATTGATATGTGTTTCCATTGGATGTTGGTGGCCAGCTTTGTAGGCAAAACCTGCAAATGGCAGTTGAAACGACTGCTAGTAAAAAGAAGTAATCACATTTGCTTGCAACAGTTATAAATGTTGTTTTTGGTTTAATTTCGCGCGGTGTATTTTATTTTGACACTGATTCGAATCACGGCGATTTGGTCATGGTTTCAGTCCCTCATTTTCGGGAATCAGGCTCAGAACCAGAACAAAAGACAGCTCTGTGGATCAAGAAATAGCATAAACCCCTTTTGGGGGTTCCTTACATTCGACCCATGATTCGGTTCCCAAAGTGTTGAGTCACAATTTATTTGAATCAAGGGGTGATGAATTTAACACAATTCTAGCATTCTCTCACGGCTCCTTTGTGCTGCCCTCGCCACTGCTAAGAACCGCTGGATGCCCTGCCAAGCGGATGAGACCAAGTCGCCTTCCCACCTGGCCAACAGTCAGCCCAGGCCCCCGCGCGACCGTGACGGAGTGTTGAGCGGTAAACCATTAAGAACGCATTTATACAAAAAATGGCGATTTCCAGTCATGTGTTTGACCTCATCACCTTGCCTTCACTTTCAGGTGGTGTACAACAATACTTCGATGAAGCCGCAGTGGCACGTGCAGGGCCTGATCCCTGGCCAGCGGTACAGGATCCACGCCGTGGCGCTGAACGCCAAGGGCAGGAGCGCTGCTGTCATCCTACCGGCCGACACCGTCACTGGCCCCGAGAAACAGCAGGAAAACAAACAAGGTCGGTGGTATAGACAGGCGGCTGGTGTCCTCCCAGCCGTTACTGTCACCAGCTCCGAACAAAAGCACGGAGAGAAAAGGTTAGCGGCGGCGAAAAGATGGCTGTTACATCCGGGCCGATACTGCCCGGTCATGATAATCTATTTGGTATTTGAACAAGCGTCTCGAAACACCCGCCTTGGGGGGGGACGCGGGTTTCACACACATTAAAATAACTGCAGAGGACCCAGAGACCGAATCCTGTCCCTGTGCAAATGTTAGTCCGTACTGGTGGCCTCGACATGATAAGCCCGTTGTACTCGGAAGTGAGGATATAAGCTATTATCTCGGTTATGGGACTCGATGACTTTTCTCCTTTTTCGTACGCGTGGCTTCTGTGTGAGTCTTATAGATTTCAGTTTTGGAACTGTGACATGTTTGAATTTGGCATGATAAATTACCTGGGCTTTTTTGTGTGAGAGACCAGTGCTCAGCTGGCTTTAGGTTTGGAGATATCTCAGTGATAGGCTGAGTGATGTTCCCGCGCATGGAACTACGTAAATATCATGAAATATAAGACGCAAGGCGTACGCAAATATATTGAATGAAGTGAGTGCCTTTTTCTGTGCACTGCATTCATTGACGTTGATGAAAGTTGTCGCATCCTTTACGTCCGATCCGGGACCCGGTGACGAACGCGACTTCGCCTTGCTTGCCAGACATCAACGATCGCCGAGATGCTGCCGGAGCCGGCCGAACACTCGCCGCTGCTGGCCATCCTGGTGGGCGTGGTCGGCTCGCTGGTGCTGCTGCTGCTGGCCGTGCTGCTCACCCACTACCTGTGCCGGCGTGGCCAGCGGCGGGCCCAGCGGTGCACGGGTGCCCACCGTCCCGTCCCCGGCCAAGCCCACCGCCGATGATCAGGATGACGAAGAGAAGGGCCGGACGTGGTGCCCGAGGACGGCGGTGAGGGCTTCAGGGGATCGCAGAGAGGAGATAAGGGTGCTGAAGTGTCTCAGAAAGTAGGTGATTTCTTTTACACCGGGAAGCTGCGATGTAGGTCATAAGGGGCGAAAAGGGTGGCCTGCTCGTATGTATGTCATGTATGTATCTCAGAGTAGAAGCATCCTTCATGGGGGATGTTAATCCGCAGTGCAGCATATTGACGCAAGTTGTTGAAGAGCAAGGAAACGTCACAAAGGCAAGGCAATGAGATCAAACATGCCAACAATCTCCCATTATTGTAATAATTGCTACCAATATGCTGTTTACGATTGGCAGCCAAGCATAAGTGCATGTTGAGACCGCAATCAGAAACGACATCCAAAGAAACCTGTGATATCAATAAGACACGCGAAGGGAAACTGGACGGATGAGATGATAACGGATGTGGGGATCAGTTGGTACCATACATGTAGAGCCTAAAGGTAAGCGATATGAGCCGGGCATTGTCGACAACCGACGCAAATTTGGTTTGGTAAATGTTTCTAAACTCTGCTTCTCATTTTAAATTACCAGGCGGAGGTCGCTCGATAGAACAGTCGCGCATAAAATCGCACTGGGTAGCCTAAGATACAGCCGCTATTGGTTTTTTAAGGTCTGGTAATTTGAAAAGATGGTATTAGCGAAATTGTGATGTTTTATGGTTTTGTGTAGTTAACCTAATGCGAAAAACCCAAATAGTTTGAGGAGATGTTGGTCAAAATCGACCGAGCTACACGCATGTGCTATTGCCATGGTCCAATCCTACTCGGATTGGAAGCTCGAGATTGGCTTCGGAAGGATGGCATTATCCGTTTTTCGGTCGCTTTCTGGCACACCTAGCGATTAGTTGCTTTGAGATCCGTTCGCAAGTTGTAGCCAGTCCATCCGCCCAAAACCGGGCAGTCTGTTTTGTTTGGTGCATGAAAGCTCCAATCCTTAAAAACGCCCCAAGACGGACGGTCCCATGATTGATGCGAGAGTGCATGAACATTCGCACACGTTGGCCCACAGTTTATGCACACGCTCGTTTCTTTTCTCCTTCATTATTGCGATTGTTGGTGTCGTTGGTACCAAAGCTCATTTCATGTCGCTGCCATCCCTTGTTGACAACATTTCGGCCTGTTTCTGGCCCGGGAGTTCCGGCTGGTTTTTCACGGTTATGAAAATGACTCGAATCCTGTCTCAATCTGACGGGGGCTGCACAATCGTGGTCACATTCTTACTGCTGCAGAAAAAAAAACCGGCCGATCAAACAGCTCGTAGTCGGTGCCTACCAACTAAGTCAGGTAGGCACTGCTTGCAATTATAAGTACAATTTTCGAGGATTTGTGCAACAAAATGTGAATGTTGCTGTTCAGGAGGCGAAAAGTACTTGTTCTAAGCGCAACACGACAAGAAAATCAGTCGTGTCAAAGCGTTTGTAGGCTTATACTTACAACCGTTTGCCGCGCGCGAACCGGTAGTCCGCGCTTCATGTAGCGGAAAGCTGCGTGGGACTGCGACGACTGTTTGTAACATTTGGAGACTTTGGAGAGTGTCATGTCGATATCCTCGAGTCGGACAGTTTTTCAGATAGCTCTTTGAAGGTTTACGTGGTCTCACGAACCGCTCAGTTTGGAACCTCACTTGTTTCCATTGACGAAGACAATGATACGAATCGTGATTTATGCACGCCAACACCTAATTGGAATTTGCCCCAAAACCATGCTCATTGTTTTGTGTAGTCCATATTACCAAAAAATGTTACAACAATCCGCTGTGCGATTGCATGACATGTTTTGTTTGCATTGGCTAACCAAAAGCGCTGTGTGTCACTTGGACGCAAACCGCCCAGGGTGCACTCGCAGCATTCTTTTCACTCAATGGTCTTTGTTTTGCGCTGGAATAGGGGACTCACTACAGTCACTGACAGGATCTGCGAGCAGAGGACAAGGATGAGCGACGACATTGCACAGAATATGCGTAAAAGACAGGGATCCGTCACACGCTCCAAACGGCGATAATGAAGTGCGTGGGTCATGTGTGCCCAGCTCTGATTGACCCGTGTCTATTTTGCGCATATTAGCAGTGATGGCCGTTCCTGGTTTCAGATGGCTCTTACGGCGTTGTACCCCCGCATACCACGTAATATCCCGCCTGCGCTGCCGGCCCACGCGCGCAGGAGCCCAGCCGGTGCCCCCAGCTTCAGCAGTGGCAGCAGGACACGGTGACATGCCGCTGAAGCGCTTCAATCACATACTCGTGCCGCCGGACCAGGTCAGAGTCGCCGCCGGCTGACCCTGGGTTCAGCTGACAATACGCCGCCTAGAGTCCGCCCTGCGCGTGTGGACCAGCTGCAGCGAATTCAGGGATCTACTCAGGACGTGCTCTACATGAAGTACAGGATTGATTTCCCTGTTTCTCATTCAGACCACGCCTCCGCGAGACAACGAAAAATAATACATCGCCCAACAAACATGGCTGCACATTGCCCAATAGCATGACTTTTGTTCAAAGCAACACTGTTGTGTCTGTGTGATGAGCTAGATGAAGGAATACCTGGACCGATCAAACATGCCTTTGGTCCGCAGGGCCGCCAGGCTCAACGGCGACGCTGCCCGACGCCACAGCGCGGCACGTGCCGGCGCCGGCTCGCCAGGGGTGCGTCCACCCTGGACCGGCGCCGGCCGGCAGGCGCCGCCGGCGGCGCCTCCAGGCCGGACGGCCCCCGGACACGCTCTCGCCGCTGATTGGCCGCGGCGTCGACGAGAGCGCGTTCTGACTGGTCAAGGTCGCCGCGGCGCTGGCATCGCGCGTGCATCGGGTCAATGTGGCGGAAGGCTGCGTTGTTGCATTCGACTGTGGCGATAGATGTTTGAAGACATCACTGCGTTTGAACGTGATGCCTTTGTCTCTACGGCTTGTAAAATATGATTATTTTGGTAAATAAACGTGTTTAATATTGGTGGCACTTTTGTAAGCAAGTATTTGGCAGGGAAATACATCCTAAAAAGCTCTAAACTCATGCACAGCACACGTTGGATAAATGACACGTGTCTTTTGTTCAGTTCATTGGCACGCGCGAGACAAGTGTGGGGGGGGGGGGGGGGGCCTGCGACGTCAGACAAGTGTGTGTGGGGGGGGGGGGGGGGGGGGGCAGGGCCGCGAGCAGGCCTGCCACTCACCCCAAACGCACATCTTCTCGCCATGAATTGCTCTCGACAGAAAAACTCTG